GTTTATTATTATCTGGTTTTAATTCAAAAGACGTGTCAAAAGATCATGAACTGTAGTGAGGCTGTTTTGATATTATTGAAGTATTTTACACGCTGTGGCTAAAACTGTAATGTTGAGACTGCTGTGATATCAAACTGAGCTTGATGTAGAACTCAGGGTCTCTGAGTAGTATGGAAGTAAATGTGTGTTTCCAGACTATTGCCAGTACTCTGTTTTCTAAGATATAAATCGATCATAAGCAGGAGCCAGAAGCCTGAAAAACAGCTCTGCCTCAAGTAACTAAAACAAATCCAGACATCTGCAACTAAATTTGTTCAAAAGAATTTTACTTTATTTTACTGGGAAATCATTAAGATCAAAAAATGACCTGGTCAAGGTAGCAGCTGTACAAAATCACAACATATTGTATATAATACAACATATTATATAAAAAAAAATCCACAATAAACTAGAACTATTCAAACACAATGGCCTCTTGTGAAAAACAACCACCACATAATTTAAAGCCATTGGTGAAACATAGCTGGTAACTACCAGAGCTAAGACAGAGATGCAGCAATATCTTTTAATTTCATATGAATATATAAAATGTAACCAAAGGTAAAGTTAATGTGAAGATGTGAGGGTGAGTGTTCATGATATTACCACTGAGCTGGTATTTGTGCAAATTCTACTAAACATCAGCATTAATTGTTACAGCACATGTTGTTTTGCGCCTGGCAGCTCAGAGCCAGCCAAAGGTCATACAGGTTGAAAATGGGGGATTTTCTGTCCACTGCTGGTCAGTTCCTTATAAACTAGGCACGATTGTAAAAATGAAACATACACAGAGGTTGCCAGAGCACTGCGACATGTCTCTGTGTTGAAAAGCTGCAGTTTTGATGGCAGGCTTTGACACAAAAATAACATGAAGAAAAAAGCCCAGAGTGAAGACATTTTAACCAACATCCTGATTTTAATTTCTATTTGAAATACTTAGAAAGTGTCAAAGTTTCCCCTTCATAGCGGAGCAGCAGAACAATGTCCCTAAATATTTACAAAAAAAAAACCCAAATGGACAATAGTTAATTGAACCTGGAGAATGAGGAAGTGATCATGACGTAACAGCAAAAACAAGTGTCACTGCGCAGATTGATGATAAGCTAACATGCAACCTCTCAACTAACATTATCGAATATTTACTAACTGGTTTAAACAAGCAAAAAAAAATTATGCCACCCTATCACGAGCCAGATTTGGCCCATGTGCCTTAAGTGAATTTACATATAATACGTATTGTATTAACCAGAGTTAATGGCTGTCAGATGATGTCGACCTCTGCTTTTACATCATCTGCTACAAACAGCTGACTGGCATTTACCCAAACTGTCGACATGTGAGTGGGTGACTCAACCAAACAGGAGACATAAACTAAATGGTGACATTGCCATGGTGATAACGAGGTGTGCTTTCCCTCCTGTGGTTGTTGCTCTTCACACAACAAGAAAAGGGATTACCCCAATCAAACACTATTTGAACTACAGTTTTCTGAGCATTGTCCACACTTAGGTCATGCTTCCTCCATCAGAATCTCATTCAGAAGCTCCGATTGATTGATTGGAAAAAACAAAGTCTTCCCACCAGTTTGCTGCTCTGAAGGAAACATTTGAACTCTTTTAAAACACATATCTCAAGTCAAGAACTAAAGAAATGATTCCTGAAAGTATAGTCTTGGTTAGTTCTGGATGTTTCTCAGGGTTTTATGTCTGGAGACGAGCACTTTTACTCCTGGTGACCTCATGTGGTTCAGACAGAAAACTGCTCCTACAATCACCACTGAGCGTGTAGTAATTGTTGTGATGAGATATTGTTTTTCAAAGAAGAGAGTGTGAAGACACTGAACCTTGCAGCTACACTAAACCAGTGAGACATCAGCTGCCAGAGATGTTACATTAAACTGAAATACAGGCTGTTTGAGGGGCAGGGGTGGAAAAATTTAAAGGGCATGAGTGTGCAGGACCTTGTGATGCATTTATTATGAAACAGCTGAGTCACTGTTAGAATTAGCACATACCACACATTATACATGATTTGTGTCACTGGAAGGGGCACCACAGAAGGCCTCTTTATTCTATTTTATACTACCAGAGTAGTATTCTAGATGGATACTTTGATGGATGGATTGAAAAAGTCATTGAAACTTTTGTGAGCTGACCCCCACGAGAGCTGCGGGAACGAAAGTCAGTCAACAATGGTTCCCTCCACACAGCGGTAAAGCTGTGCATTGTAGTTTCTGGTAATTTCCAGTATATGAGGTCAAGCTGCTGGTTTAACAGTATTTAAAAATGTCTGATAAACAATTCTGTAAGTAACAATATAATCAAGAGTGATCATTTTGAAATTCAGTTTTCTCGTGCTATGGAACATCGCTTTATGCAATTACGTCACTAGAATGTATTATGTTGGTCAGGAGAAGAGATGGAGCTCCTCATTAGAAAGGCATCTGTAGTTATTGGGAAGTTCTTACCAAAGCACAATGAATCTCTCTTTTTT